CTCTCCCCTCTACCCACCCAGAAAAACTGAGCCTGCTGTACAGATATTACTAGATACTGTAGTACAGATATTAATAAAAACATTCTTTTCCTTGTGTTGTGACTGTTATGCTTGCCAGTTGTCCACCATACCATGAGGAAGGCACACTGTCGTCAACAGTCGACCTGGCGGGTGTTCGCGTTTCGTTGTGCGTGCCCTCTTCAGGCACGCTGCTGCTCGTGTGCACTCTTTGTCGGCGGTTGTGTTCACAGTGTATACCTGCCCGCCGAGACAGACTCGGCAGGCGTGAGCTGGCGTCGGGTGAGGAGAGCCCGCCGTCCTGCCGCCCTGTGCCCCTTTTCCCTTTTCACTAGCCGAATTTTCGTGTTGTGACCTAGTTTCGCCGCCGCCGCCACCCGGGCCACTGCCTTCTTTGTGTGTGTGTCTTTCTCCCCCCCCCCCCCCTCTCTCTCACTGAGCGGCGCGGGGACTCCTCTCGCGATCCGCGCCGGTCCGGCGACGTCCGTGAGAGGGAGAGAGAGGGAGGGGGGCCGAGAAAGGGGACGGTTTGTTAAAGAGAGGGAGATCGAGAAAGGGGAGAGAAATGCTGTACATATCCTTTGACGCTCCCAGCGGGGAACACAATTCGTGTCGATCGCGCTCGCTATAATGTTATGGGCGCCGACCACCTTAGAGGGCAAGATGTGCACAATAGACCATTTCAGGACCTGAAATTCAGGTTCAGGTGATAAGAAGAAGAAAAGGATAATACACCAGAAAAGCACTGCCTTCTAATCGTCCCCCACCCTACGTCCCTCTTTGCCCCTCGCCCAACTGTTTCCTCTTCCTCTTGTCCCCGAAACTGTAATGGTCTGTTGGACAGTAAAGTGTGAATTAGTAGTGTGTTTGGCTTTTTCCGAAGTTGGCCCAATCTCCCGCCCTAGTCATCTTCATATTTTATTATATTTCTTTATGACAACAGGTAGAAAAGTGACAGTCTGGACTGCGCCCGGAGATGAACTATCTAGGTCAGGTCGTTTTACCCCACTTTTTCGACGAAAATTAAGAAAACCGAAAAGGAAAAAAAAAGAACAAGAAGACGCCGCGCTGCGGCACGCCCTCCAGCCTTGCGCCCAGAGCCCTTGTTTTATTGCCCTCCAAAGGGAAAAGGCCCCTCCCCCCTGCTCCCCGCTCTCTGTCTCTCTCTCTCTCTCTCTCTCTCATCCCATGTTTCTCCTTCCTTCTCTCTCGGTCTCTCTCCTCTGGGCGTGGCGGGGCGGGGTCCTTCCAGGGCAAGGTCGCGCACCGCCGTCAGACAAACCACGACAAACCGAGCGGGTCGGGCCGAGAGGATTCCTGCCGACTCTCATTTCACAGAGAGTAATTTTCATCTTTTGTTTCCCTCCCCAGGCCCTGTCGTCGCGCGTGCTTCGCGAGCGGAACTTATCGACGCATAATCGCGCTACACGCGCCTCACACGAATACCTTTCTGAAGGCGTAACGTGAGTATAAATTTCATTTCTTCAGGTCAGACAAAAATTATCACTAATAATAAAAAGATGCAATATACACTCTAAATGGCAAAGGGACAAAACTTTTGTCCATGATTGCAAGATGCGTTTGTATCCACATTTCATGTACAAGATCGATAATTTTGAACTCTGAAGATTGACAAATTCGTATTTCCTGCTAGACCAATTTTCATTATGTCCTACTGAAAACACAAATTTGGCGCGCATCAAAACTGCATCTTAAGACGTGCACAACATCAAACGCATCTGGACACATCTTGCGATTGACTTCCCTTGCCGTTTGGAGTGACTCATATTTCGTGCTATGTCCACAATGTTGTCAAAATTATGGAGTTTATATTCTTTCTCCTTTCTAGATCTGCTCCGCGGCCGCGGAGCGGCGATGTGAAAGTGAGACAGACGCGAAGAGCGTAGAGGAGCAGCAACGAAGAAAAGGAAAAGTGGACGGCGTGGGTGCACAGACAAAAAAGGGATACTATTTTTTTAAAATATAATACTACAGAACTATAGTTCAACAAGAACATTATGAAATGTTTCCGAAAAAACATCGTGTCGGCCACCTAATTTGTGGGCAGTGGCAGTATTGCTTACAAATAATTCTAGCCTCTCAGCAAATATATAAATTGACAATCACTCCCTCTTCTCTTCAACTTCGTATGGACTTCGCCGCTCAATGGCACCGGTGACTGGCACGGGTGCAAAACTGGCCCAAATAGCAAGTAGCAGATTGGTTATTTAAAATCTACTATAAAACGTATGGGATACATGACGCTCTTGTCACGATACCGTCAGCAAAGCCGTGGTATCGTGAATATAGAAATCAGCGCGCGCGCGTGTGTGTGTGACACACTTTACAAGCTCAGTCAGTCCGCTACCGTCTTGAAAAGTGACAGTGGCTGGCGCCGGTGGCGCGCGGCCGCGGGGCGGCGGCCCGAGCAGGCAGTGAAACTCATTGTGGGCCGGGCCTGATGCACCGTGAAATTGGAGCAGAGACTGGTTTGGTTATAAGGAGAGGAGGCTAAAACGGGCCAGCGCGAGGCCGGGCGGGGCGGGGCG